GTGTGTATGTGTGTGTGTGTGTGTTTGTGTTTTGTGTGTGTGTATGTGTGTGTATGTGTGTGTGTTAATGTGTGTGTACGTGTGTGTGTGTGTGTGTGTGTGTATGTGGGCATGTGTGTACGTGTGTGTGTGTGTGTGTGAGTGTGTGTGTGTGTGTGTGTGTGAGTTTGTGTACGTGTGTGTATGTATATGCGTGAGTGTGTGTACGTGTGTGTATGTATATGCGTGAGTATGTGTACGTGTGTGTATGTATATGCGTGAGTATGTGTACGTGTGTGTATGTATATGCGTGAGTATGTGTACGTTTGTGTATGTATATGCGTGAGTGTGTGTACGTGTGTGTATGTATATGCGTGAGTATGTGTACGTGTGTGTATGTATATGCGTGAGTATGTGTACGTGTGTGTATGTATATGCGTGAGTATGTGTACGTTTGTGTATGTATATGCGTGAGTGTGTGTACGTGTGTGTATGTATATGCGTGAGTGTGTGTATATGCGTGAGTGTGTGTACGTGAGTGTGTGTATATGCGTGAGTGTGTGTATATGCGTGAGTGTGTGTTAGTATTCGAGAATAAAAAGCGGTGAGTTCAACAACATTAGATCGGAGACCAAATATGTAGCTGTAGACTGTGGGTGGTTGGCGGGTGCTCTGGAGTGGGTTACTTGTTCTTCCTATGAAACATATATCGTCCTTATCTCCTTCTTCTTGTTTGTGTTCGTTACTCTCTTGTAACACCCGTAATCTTCCGCACTTATATGACCTTATTGTGTTGCAAGTGCCGTAAAACACTTACTAAGAATATTTAAAAACGTTGCTCTAGATTGCAATGTTTGCCACAGATCGCCGTAGACACTCCCATCCTGGGCCGTGTCAGTTTACGGACGTGACAAAATGTCCGCGAGAAACATACTGATTTGTGTACACGAGTTCTGATGACGTTGTGAAGAAACATAAAACATACACGTGGTGAAATGAATAACGTAGTTGTGAAGAGCGTTGTTCGTCAACTGTGACATTGTCCAAACTGTCCTACCTGATTCCTGGACACTATTTGTCTAGCCGGAGGCTCTGATGTGTTCCGGCGGTACAGCTTTTGGAAAGGAAGATTCTGTTCTGTAGAAAGAAACTTGTAAAAAAGATGTGTGTTGTGTTTGTGAACTACTCAGAAAAGATGTACCGTTGTGTTCCGAGTGATCAAGAGCGTGTGTTATGCTTCAGTTAACTGTGTTGTTTTGTTTTTTTAATGAGCAACTAGCGGTTAACATGATCCCGGTGAAGACTTACTATCGAGCAAAACTGAAGACCTAAGGAAAATAAGATAAATATCCAACAATAGTAAAAGACGCCAAAAAAACAACAACACACACACACAAAACAAGGAAAAGAAATTCTGGAATCCCCAAGATGGCGTCCCAACCCCAACCCGTTAACATGACCCCGGTGAAGACTTACTATCGATAGTATCGAATAAAGCTAAAAGACGCCGGAATAAAACAAACAATTCTGGGACCGTCAAGATGGCGTCACATCCGCGCCGGGCCAGGGGAGATCACCGGAGTCGTGAGGACAAGCCTCAGCCAATCATCATTCAGAACATGGAGTTCCTCTCCCCGGGCCAACGACTGTTCCGCAAGAAGCCTCTGTCCACCGCCAACCTCTTCCTGTCCCCCGTGTCACTCAGCAGACAGTCTACGCCGGCCGCCGGGGGGAGGGGGACACCCGCAGCACGCCCAGCTGTACGCGACCTTGACCTGGACGGGGAGAAACAGACTCAAGGTCAGCGTCAGGGTACGGGGAGACAAGGTCAGAGGTCACGGTCTCTGATCAGGGAGGGTGAGTTCTGGCGCCCACCGGCTGCCCCCGCCACCACCACCCCTCCCCCCAGCGCCCCGGGCCGTAAGCGCGTGACCTTCTCAGACAGTCCTGGAGTACTCACGGCCGCCGGGAACTCCGGCCGGGGGGTGGGGCGGGCGGGGATACAGACTAAAGGTGCTAACCTCAGCGATGTCAACAACAACAATAACGATAGCTACAATAATAATAATAACAATAACAACAACAGCCTGAACAACAACAACGACAACGTCAACAATGATAACTACAAAGAAGGCGACAGCGAGAAGTGTGTCGGGAACCAGGCTGTTAGTCCAACAGACAACACGAACGGCAGCAGCAACAACAACAGCAGCAACAACAGTTACAACAGCAGCAACAACAGTTACAACATCAGCAACAACAGTTACAACATCAGCAACACCAACAAGAGCGACCACAACAACCTCGGCATCAACAACGACACTGGGACAAGGACAGAAGCCCCCGAGTGTCGCTCGCCCCCTGAGCCGGCGAGGTCATCAAACAACAGCGACAGCAACAACTACAAAAACAGCAACAACAGCGATAGCAACAACAGCAACAGCAACAACTACAACAACAGCAACAACACCATCACTGAGCCAGCTGTGTCACCAAACAGCAGCGCGTTGACCCGGCCTCACTCCCCGCTTGTACCGCCGCAGACGGATGACGTCACCGACACTCTCAGACGGCTTGACCAAACACCGCCGACCACTCAGGGTCAAGAGGGATCGTCTCTGTGTTTGGACCAACACTCGACACTGCTCGCCGCGCCGGTCAACGACAGCCCAGGTCAGAGCGGCAATCTCTCCACTGGCCTATTTCCCGGACACAGTAGTGGACAGACCTGGGTGAGTGGCGCCCCGCCGACAGAAACAGCTACACCCTCCCTGGGGGTGAAACCTGACCTCTGGGACAGGTCATCCACGGACAAAACAACCCGACCTGGCACCAAGACAAAGCGGGTGTCCTTCAAGTTGTCAGACGATGAGGGAAGTGAGCGAGCCAGCATCACGGCACAGACCGACGCATCCTCCGACCGCTGGTTCGACAGAGAGAGATACACACACACCCCGCGCGACCACAGAGGCTACTATCAGACAGACGAAGAACCTTCCAGAAATCCTGCACCCAAGTACCCACAAACCAGCGGCGCTCAAAACCAGCGTAAAAACATTCCAGCAGTGCCGAAGCGTTCTAGTGTTAGACCTGCCTTCAAGGAGAGAGGGAGCCACAGAGCAAGTAGAAATAACAACACGCTAGGAACTTTGTCCGAGGCGAACGTAAAATTCGGCTCTAAGATCTTACGGCTCAACTTTCTCAAAGACGAATCCCCGCGAGGAGCGAGAGATCCCAGTGTTGACAGGACTGACCAGTCGTTCTCACGCCACCTGGACTTACGGCGTCGTAGTGGCCAAGACTTTCCCGCCACTGGTCACGTGGACAATCTGTACCGGTCAGCCTCTCTGGACAATGTGTCCTCCACACAGTCAAAGCCTGGAGCTGTCTCCCACGACGTGTTCCTGACCAACCCCGCCATGATCGGGGACCCGTTTGAGCCGACCGTTAACCCCCAACTGACCCTAACCTCTAACCCGACCAGTCAGCCCAGATCTCAGGGCGCCGTCAACTCGGACTTTCTCATGCAGATCTACTCGGTGAGTGGCGACAAAAAGTCTGTGTGTCCTCAAGACTCTACAACTCCGCAGTCGTCAACAAATACCGCGTCTGTCCGTCACGGTACAGAGGTTACTCACACACAGGACATCCCTCCTTCCTCCTCCCTCCCGCCCTCACACACCCCCACAGACACGCGACACCCCCCTTCCTCCTCCCTCCCGCCCTCACACACACCCACTCACACACGACGTCCGTTGACCGTACACTCCACTCACGTACAACACTCGAGAACTCTGGCCAAAGAACGACGTCTGCTCAGCGCGGGTCCCTCTGAGCCTCGCCGTACTTCCCACAGACGGCCTGCTCGCTCCTCCTCGGCCTTCACCTTGACCCGCGGCAGTTACGTCAGCAGGGGTGATGGGCGTGGCCAGGAGGAGGAGGGGGACATGATTGACAGGCTGCTGTTGAAGGGGGAGGGGCATGCAGGTGTGAGTGAGAGGACCGTGCTCAACAGGCGCCTGGAGGAACTGGTGGTGGCCTCAACTCACTGCTCACGTCACAGGCTCGTGCTGGAAAGGTCAAGGTCGGACCTGGTCTGACTGGCGAGGTCCTGGCCTTACGTCGTCCGTGTTTGTTTGTTTGTGTGTTTGTTTATTTTCATTTGTTTGTTTGTTTTGGGGTCTTTTTGTGGCGTGGGTGGCCTAGTGGTTAGGCTACCGGACTCGTAATCGTGAGGTTGTCGGTGGTCTAGTGGTTAGGCTACCGGACTCGTAATCGTGAGGTTGTCGGTGGTCTAGTGGTCAGGCTACCGGACTCGTAATCGTGAGGTTGTCGGTGGTCTAGTGGATAGGCTACAGGACTCGTAATCGTGAGGTTGTCGGTGGTCTAGTGGTTAAAGCTACCGGACTCGTAATCGTGAGGTTGAGGGTTCGGGGGTTCGAGCCGCGGGCCTGACGTTGTGTCCTTGGGAAAGGCACTTTACACGAATTTTCCTCACTTCACCTAGGGGGGAATGGGTACACGGCCATAGACAGCGAAAGATCTTGTCAGTATGTTAGTGTTTTAGCGCCTATAAATGGCCGCTTGCACTGTATGCTTCCCAGGAAGTTGAGGTTGTTTCAGAATACTCTCAGGTCTACTGGGGTAATAGTATAGATTGTGAAGCGTATAGAGCTTGCTGTTGAGCGGGGATTTGCGCATACAAACGCTGTCTATTATTATTATTATTATTATTATTATTATTATTATTATTATTATTATTATAAATAATAATAATAATATTAACATTATTATTGTTGTTATTATTATTATTATTATTATTAATATTAACATTATTATTATTATTATTATTATTATTATTATTATTATCATTATCGTTATTGTTATTGTTATATATTTGTTTGTTTGTATCAACTCTGAGAGTGGGACGAGCCATCTCAACTGACGCACGACATCGCGTGGGTGTTTACAGGCACAAGAAAATACCCCACACCACAGCGAGTCTGTCTGATATGTAATCAAACTGTTTGTTAGTTGAATGGGACATTCAGTTTTACTCAGTTTGGTAATAATTTTATTTTAATATGTTGAACAGGAGTACAGTTTTTTGGGTAGTTTGTGGTTAGGCTGTCGGGCTCGTAACCTGAAGGTCATGAGTTAAAACTTCGTTGTGTCCTTTGGAAAAGCCCTTTACTCGAATTTCCATCTCTTCACCCAGATGAGAATAGATACTTGGCTATAAATAGCGAAAGATCTTGTCAGTTTGTTAGTGTTTAAAGGCTTAATCTGCAGCTTGCTCTGTATGCTTCCCGGGAAGCCCGGAGTGTTTCTGAGTGTTCTGGGGTCTGTTGAGGTAATAGCAGCTGTAAAGTACATAGAACTTGCAGCTGTTGAGCGGTGATCAAATGTGCTATACAAATGCTTATTATTATATAATATTGGATTAAATTATATATTTAAATATACATTATTTCATTTTCAATGAGTTTTTATTTACATGAGTATGCATACGATCAACTGACTAGAATTCAGTTACTGATTTGTTCGTTCGTTGAATGACTGAATGGCTCAGTCTCTGCACTTGTGAATAGCTCCTTATTCATTGATCGTTTCATGGCAGAACTGATCCAACTGTTGGGAGATTAATGAATGATTGATTGGTTATTAACAAAATGTGGCTGACTAGTTGGTTTGTTGATTAAATATTGCTTGGGTTATCGACCAACGAAAGAAGCAGATGATTTATCTATCAAGTTATTGGTGGAAAGGATGGCTGGTTAGCTGATTGTTTGATTGATGGATTGATTGATTGATTGATTGATTGGTTAATTGGTTGATTGGTTGATTGGTTAATTGATTGAATTGATTGATTGATTGATTGATTGATTGATGGATTGGTTGATTAATTGGTTGATTGGCTATGTGAATGATTGATTGATTGATTGATTGATTGATTGATTGATTGATGGATTGATGGATTGGTTGATTGGTTGATTGTTGATTGGTTGATTAATTAATTGATTGATTAAATGATTGATTGATTGAGTGTATGGAAATCACAGACTGATTGTCTTTCTGACTTACACTCCACGGAGTATGAAATGGTTGTACAAAATAAACATTTCGAGGACATGATGGAGACATCTGCAGTGACAGTTCTTGAA